TAGTTGAGAGTCGTCTCGCAGGAGCAAAACAAGCCAAACGAGGACAAGCCCCCTAGATCTCGCTTTGATTGAGTACTCTTGGCATGTTCAATTCTTTTCCTCTACTTCGGTAACTAGGTGCTTTTAAGCTACTCTTGTTGCCTCCCGCGAAGCTTGTGAACTGGCATGGGGCCGCAGGCCGCGTGTGGCACCACAACACGGGGGTAGTCAGGAGCCCAACACAATATAAGCTCGAGAGGTGAGGGTGCCTAGGCGCCCAACGGCTTGGGTGTTCCACGACATAGTTACTGTGCGTGGGACACGACACAGGGGTGGACAGGAGCAGCTGTGGAGCTCGGCTGATATAAGATGTCTTTGAGAAACAAGTCTAGAATTTGTCTAAGATGACATAAAACTTCAGAAATATCTCTGATAAGTGGTTAAATTGCTCATTTGTTAAGAGTAGATACATTGAGAAGCATGAAAAGCAATAATGGGAATAACATAAGTTCTCAAGCAAGAGGAAGGGGTCATAATGGAAGATGAACAGTTGAAAAACACATCATTAATTAGAATGAAGCATGGTTTGGTTTCTTCAAGCATATAAACTACTTTTCATGATGGAAACATAGCTGTATTACATATCCCAAAACATCCTAGGTTGAGAATGATATGAGTAGAGAAGTTAGGGAAGGAATCTTCCAAATGGAACAAAACAGGGCACCTAACATGGGTGTGTTTCAAGAACTCATATGGGACTTGATGATGACCCTATTTGAGGAATTCCATAAATGTGTTTTTTTATTAACTCCTAACTTTGGTACCATAACAGTACTAACAAAGGGACTTGATGATGGCCCTATTTGAGGATTTCATAAATGTGTTTCCTTTATTAAGTTTTAATTTGGCACCATAACAGTACTAATAAAAAGATAAGATGAAAAAAAAACATATCAACAACAACACTTGTGATGAATGGACAATTTTGGAAAGTTATGTGTCAAATGGCATGTTTGACTCCGATATGCATCAACCAAGTGTCAAATGGAATAATATCAAAATTTGATTTTTAAAGAGACTTGACAAGGTCAAATGGTCATATCTCTTAACACTTAATGAGGATAAAAGGGTTCTGACTAATATGGCACACTCGGATTGAGGACTTTCGTTGAGGGTAATGTCTGCATTTAAAGTAGTTGGATATTAACCCGTAACTAAAAAGGGGTCCCACATGGAGAAGTATGTCGCACATCCTTCTCAATAGAGTTGTTGAAATGCTCACAATTTTGATATCAAGAGCTATGAAGGTACGACATATAGAAAGATTGTGCCACCTCTTGTGGTGGGTGACGGTCTATCCACATCCTATAATATGCTAACAATATGATACATGTGGACATAAAACTTCTGTTATGCCCACTCGAGCAACTCTCCAGGTTGGAAATAAATTTTCACCAAAGTTGGTTATTTTGCTTTAGCAAAGATGAACTCATTAAAGATCAATACAATCAACCATTCACCAAAGGAATTGGTTCATTTGCATTAAGATGTTTGGGCATACCAATGCACAATAGGAAATTAAACAATACCGATTCGACAGGGTAGAATAGCACTTTGAGGAAAAACTTAGCAATTGAAAGTGCAGACAAGTCCTAATAAACTCCACACTCGGTAGTCTTCCAATGTTCATGATCTTCTCCCTCAAAATACCTAGAGAGGTTTGCAAGCTGCAATATTTCAAGTCCAGGTTTTCTGAGCAAAGTGATGTTCTTCTCCTTTGAAATATAGGTGCGCTAAATGGAGCATTGTTTGCCAACAGAGTGGTTAAGGGGGTTCGGGTATCCAGGACCTTGACATCAATAAGAAAACATTATTAAGGAAACTTTTTACAATCTATTCATGCCTCCTTTGGGCTTATTAGCTATATGAAATAAAAACTCTAGCCCAAACAAACAAGCAATTTTTCCATTAGGCTAACTGAAGTTATAAGCTGTTGTTGCACTAATAAGCTAAAAGACAAGTGGGAGTATTGCTTTTTTGCTTATGTGGACTCTACCCTTGGACCTGCAGCTTGAAAGTCCTCAACCTGATAAACTACAAAAGAAAAAAAAAAGCTCAAAAAGCTTATGGTCTACTCCCTCCGTCCCAAAAAAAATGAATCTAGGACTGGATGTGACATATTCTAGTACAACGAATCTGGATGTGAATCTAAGACTGCATGTCCAGATTCGTTGTACTATGTGTCATATCCAGCACTAGGTTGGTTTTTTATGGGACGGAGGGAGTAATTATTTGAAATAGAGTTGGGGATAATGGCAGGTTCTACAAATATGCAAGGATATGTTGTTTGTAGGACTCCTATATAAAAGTACTGCATCTTTGCATATGACTATACATATCCAATTGGCCCCATATAAATCATTTGTAAGTATTGATTTGAGTATAATTAATTATTAACTACATTTTATATTTTGAACTTTCAATACAATTTGTTGGGATTCATCTCAACACACAAACTAGATGCTAATCCCTACTATCACGAGAACATGTCATTTGAACATGGCTTAAGTCAAAACTTCAAAATTTTGAAAATCGATGTTTTTAAAAATATTTGGATTGTGTAAGAAAATCATGTGTAGACTTGCCTAAAAAATTTACTTCCATAATATTCTAGTTTTCTCGGTTTTACAAATGTTTTGCACTGGAAATTAGATTTTAGTTCCATTTTGAAGACCATGTATATCCATAACATGTTTCTTTTAAGGACCATGTAAAAGTCTAAAACAAGTTTTTGTGACCGGAAAGCTAATAAAGCTAAGCCAAAACAAAGGTCCAAAAAGAAAATGGGATGTGGCAAGATTTCTTAAGAACAAAATATCTACTACCTCCATCCCATAAAAAATGAATTTCTACCCTTGAACCTTTGTCCTATAAAAAATGTATTTCTACCAATGTGGGACCCAACAAATTAATTACATCAAAGTATGTTGCCTTGTAGTCTTCCTTCCTTCCTTTTAATCAAAGTTTATCTATAGAATGTATGCATGTAGTGTGTTTATTAAACAAGGTTATTATGGTCATTTGTGTATCCTCCTAATCTATCCTTAATTCTGTAGAAATTCTATTTTTATGGGACAGAGGTAGTAGGAGATAGAGGTCTTACATTGTAATAGGTGAGTTTGGAAAGATATTTGCTTGGGTGCTACTTACTCTTATTAAGCCACAATACTCCGCATCTAATATATCTAATATAGTGCGAAGAAAACAAGACACTATCACCCAGATGGTCCTTTCTAGGACTCCAGTGGATAAGATATGTAGCTTGGGACCATCTATTTACTAGATTGGTAACTGTGCAAGTAATGGAAGAGGGACAAATTTACATTCTAGTTGCATCAAAATGGATTGTATTCAATAAAGTCTATGCATGATCCACTTGCTAATTACAACATCATCACCACTAATAAAATAGTGTGCAAGTTAAAATACCATTAAATATAAGGTATTTTTATGCTACTAGAACTTACTTTACAAAGTACTCTTTAACAAAAGAAAACAAGAGATGTTACGATTGTCAAGTTGTGCATGCAACGTTTTTAAATCCCCACTAGCTTTTCTCAAATGCTTGGGAATGGCTTGTTAGTTTTTATCAAGATGTAACAACACAAAATTTTGTTTAGCAAAAAACAAAAAATCTCAAATTCACGCAAGTTATCTTCATGTGCACTAAGCAGGGTGTGAGGCGCGGTTTTAGGCTGCCTCAACAAGAAGAGCGGTGTGACGAGTTATTATGGCAAGCCACAATTTGGAAAGACTACCATGGGGCTCGTCAACAATCGTGGATAGAAATTTAGCAATAGGCTTTGTGTGAGATGTTTTTGTACTTCATAAACTACAAGACCATATTGTTATTTCATACACTTCAACTATGTTTGGTATGGACAATTTGTAATGCTCCGTTTTGTTCAAGGAATTAGGGCCAAATCTGATGAATGAAATTAGGCCCAATTCATTTCGGGCATTTGGAAGACAAGTTAGGTAAGAATTGAATTGTTGGCCCATTTCCATAGAAACATACCATAACTTGAAGAGCATAGGTCCAATTCATTGAACTCCAGGCCTAAATTGGCTTATACATGGGAATGCATGTCTTCTTTTTTCCCCTCGTTAATCACCCACCACCACCTGTTCACTACCATGCCCTCACAAGCTCCACTCGGACATCTAAGCCACTAGCAACGACCTCCCACTCCATCCTGTGTTGTCCTACAAGATCTATCAATGACATCCTAGGCCATCTCCACCGTTGAAAACTTTCCTTCAGCACGTCACACACCCTTAAGATCTTGCCGCTGGCCACTAGCCTCGCTAGCCTCAAGGTCCTATCGCCACCTACGTTAACGACCTCGTTCTCTCTTCTAGATGCCACCACCTTCTGTCAGAGACCGACCTAGCGGCTGTAGGAGACCTTTCCTTGGCCTTCCTCAAGATCCAAACATTGGTTAGCTCGAAGGGCATGATCATAGGCTAGAAGAGCTCGATTGGCACTGCTTTTTCCAACGTGCATTTGCTCTTGATGTACTCAAGTTGGTAGTGGATGGTGGATTTTACTTAAAAAGTGTATGGATCCCATTAAAAATAACAAGAACGAGACCAATACCAAATGTAAATTAGCCACTAACTAACCCAAAAAAGCATCTGGTTTTCTTTTTATTGATAGCTATTGACCCTAAAGAATCTCCAAAAAGCATATTCAAGAATCACGGTTGACTACAAACAAAATCTGAAATCTGAAAGCCTACCAATCAAGTTGATTTCATCGTGGGTTTAAAGTTCCAAAGGGTTGCTTAAAAAAACATTTAGTAGGTGTAAAGTGTTTATGTTACTGTTAGGTTCTTAACAAACACGCAATATTGAAAAGACCAATATGTATGACCAGAAAATTAAAAAAAAAACAAATATCTCCTGAGTAAAAAAAAAGGACCAAGGATTGAAAGTAAAGGAAAGGAACATTTACATACCTGATAGCGATCTCCATGACCAGCATGAATAATATCAGATACACCTACTTCCTTTTCTGCACATCTTACACATCGTGCATCAGTCATCTAGATAAAACAAACACCAAACTCAGAGAACCGTAAAGTAATAACTCTATGTGAAAACTCAGTTATCATGATGAACATTCTTCACTCTTCCCTTGCGTAACTACAATTACTGAATATAATACGAATGATGTACAGTACCTGCAACTTCCTTGATTCTTCAGGTTCAGATGTTCTCTCTGCTGCTGTCAAGCCAACCTAAAATGTTCAGCAACAACAATTAGAATTTAGATAAGAATGGAACAGAAAGATATTTAAGTTAAATGAGGAACACATCATAATTATAGCAAAGAGAATATATTAAAGAAGTTCATTGAAATAACAGGTGGCTGTTACAGAAGGAGGCATATCAGGTTGAAGTGAGCAACCCACTAAAAGAGAATCTTCCGGAAAACCAAACTTTAGTCAATTACATTTTCGTCCTCCATTCTAATATACATTATGTTCAAAAATACATTTTATACTCTCTTAAAAAAGCAATGCTCAACATTTATTGGTGCTTGAACCAAATTGGTTTTGCACCAGACATGCCTCCTATTTGAATTTAGTGTAGAAAACTAGAAATGCATTGTATTAACTACAGTTATAACCAATATGTTCTATACTCCTACCAACTAGGCTAAGGCACTAGAACCATGGATACAATCATAGCCACGGGGAGTGCGTAAAAATAATCCGAAGACCAAACCAAATTACCCCCTTTTTTTGGTTTTAGGTTACTAGTTTGGTTTTTGTTTTGATGCAGCTTCATACAAGAAACGAACTGTAAAGTACATTTTGAATTGAAAGAATGCAAAATTCTTGAAAGATGGTTACACCTTTAGTTCGTCAGGAGACATTGTTAACAGGACTGGAGGATCAAGCTCCTTGTTCATCAGCCGGTTCCGTAGTACAGGGCTATTCTGCAAATGAAAAACAACAGCAATATGTTAGGTTATCAATCAAATTATAATTCACAGAGATGTAAAGGTTGGGTGAGTTAAAAACCTTTATGTCGTTAAGAGTACAATGACACAAAATTTTAGTGGTTGCTATTATGATAAGTAGAAAACAACATTTCAGACTAAATAAAGATTTGAGCTTAAGAGTCTGGAGGAGAAAGTTTAATGGTGATGTGAGTTACAACAATAAGAAAATTACCTAGTATTATTCTTGTGAAACTGGTGATTTCTAGGACTAGATATAAACTAATAAGTGAACTGTGCAGTTGTCAGCAGGACATACCTTGATGTTGAACAGTAACTGTCTCAATTTCTGGTTATACTTCTGGAAGTCAGAACCAAGAGCTTCATAAGTAGATCTTTCTAAGGAGGCCATTATTGAAACAATCACATCAGGTGAATAAGATTTTTCATTGTCCTGAAAACAGATAATCAGAAACCATCTAAGGAGGGAAGGCAAATAAAGAAAACAAAACAACAAAACACAGGGAACCAATGAAACAAATAGAAGGCTTTAGTGAACATATACTTCTTATAAATCCCAACAATAAAAGAACATGCAAAGTTGCCAAGAGATTACATAAAAAGAAGGAAAAAAAACATGTGCCCATCCCAAAAATAAGAGGTCTAACAAATAATTTTCAATGAATGGCACTACTTTCTCGATAAATATAAATTTACAGAACAAGGTGACAAATTTAGCATCGCAAAATTGTCCAAAGCAACAAACATGGTTATCACAGTCCACACTAACAAAAATTACTGTCTTCTGCGCTCAGTACATGAAGTGTGTGATTCATTTAGTAATAAAACCCTTCTTCCGATTTTTAACCCGTATGCGGTTCAGAGACCATGTAACTGTGAGCATGCTTCTTTCAGGTCCTTGTGATTCTGTTATCATGTTACTTCTATCAAATTAAACATTCTCAACCAGAGGCTTACACGACTACTAATAAATGACCGATTGACCGTTGCAAACGTAATAGCCCTATGCTGTATTTTTCAGTGCTGAGAGGCAATCACTAGTATGCCTTAGCAAACAAAGTACACTGACCAGTGATAGATATAACATGGTATGACTTAACGCTTGCTCATTTAAGCATCCATGAGATGTTGTGAGTTTTACTTTTAATCTTTATGTTTGCACATTAACACAGAAAGAAAAATGCTTGACACAAACAAAAAAATATTCGGTATTGGCAGTGCAGTGAAGCAATCACTAGTCCAATAATGCCTTGTCAAGTGAACCCTGTAGTTTGTAGTCATCCCAGGCCACTTGTCTAGAGAACATAGGAACAAGGAAAGGCGGTTTACTACCGATACTCGGAACCAAAAAAGTGTTAATGTTAAATATAACAGTAAATTTGTAGCGCATATACAAATTTCATATCACCACCAAATAGATGAATAAGCTTGTTGGAAAGTGAGATGATAACTTAACCTAATGTTACCAAGATAATTAACTGTAGCGTTCCTATGTGGCATATTCCAGACAAGGTTAAGAGTGTGGAAGATCAATTCAACATGGAGGAGTTTAGAGTTTCAACCATTCCCATCACAGGGAAAGAAACAACTTACACCAGAACTTACTTCCTTTGCAGATGAACCATTAGTTGAACTTTTGGTAGCACCACCAGGATCAGCATGAGAAGCCCCAGCACTTTCCTTTGATGTTAGTGGAATAGTATCCACTAATTTATCAAGCCACCTATCACGATATTGATCACCAGTAACAGCTTTATACTTGACAAGGGTGGCATAATTCTTTAGCTTATCACTTCCAGGTGTCTCTGCTTTTCCAAATTGCTCTGATTTGCCTGCTAAAGCATCATCTCTTGAAACATCTATAGGAAGCACAGGTCTCTTCCGCAGTCCTCGCTTGTTTGAGAGCTGATCATTGTTGTCACCAGGAGCATCTGCAGGTTCAATATCAGAAAGCTGTCCAATACGGTCTATTGTTTTCTTAACGAGAAGATCAATCTCATGTTGCTTGTTATCCTCATAATCTTTGTCTGTTAGGTTCCAAAGTTTCTTCGCAACTGTGTCATAGACCTTTTGGACAATGAATCCAGGGTGTTCCTTCCGGCTGGGAATTTTCTTATGTTGAGGAATGAAATGGACTACACACTTGTGCATAACTGACTCTGCTGGCACATCATCAATATGGAAACTATAAAATAACTCCCTCGTGTCACTTGCTTTCCAGCTTCCCCCACCCTTTTTGTCAGCCTCTTCTGGTCTATAAAACCACTGACCAGTTACTGATAAGCTTCCCTCAGTTTCTGTTATATCCTGTTCCAAGATTATAGTGAAGTGTTATTTCTCATAACTCACTCTGGAAAGAGAGAACAGATTACAGAAACAACTAAGATTGTGTAACTTTGCCTCCTCAACAACAAAAGGTAGGCAATGAGTCAATGATTTCAATCATAGAATATAGAACAATTGCTTGATACAGGTCATAGCTAATACTAGCATCAGTAAATCTAAGCAAAGTTCCATCATTGAAACAACATTGAGAGGTAAAAACAAGTGCATCCAAAACCAAATCTATATCTAAGTTCCTATTTAAAATTCATATCAACACTGGTTTATGCTCATAGAGTTTTGGAACGATGTTCATTTTCAAGATTGACATCAATATTTCAAACTGATAGGGGAGTAACAGTTGTTCGCAAACTATTGCACCAAAGAAAACTAGCTATAAGTTCAAGCATAGAAAAAACTGAAAATCTGACACACGATTTTTTGCATCATATTTTTCCAACGTTCTAATATCGTCCAAATACGTTACAGGGGTGATTAATCACAGATCTTGGTGATGGCGACAAAATGACATAATTTGAATGCCTAAAACAATTCCTTGATACATTGTCCAGATCGGCAACAGGAGTGATTCATCACAGACCTTGAGGATGGCGACATAAGGTTTCTCCTTGCTATCCTCAGGCGTGAGCAGCACCGGGTCCTCCTGCAAATCGACAACAATCATCAATCCGCAAAAGAAAAAAGAAAAATCAGAATTTGGGAAAATCATCAAAAACCCTAAAAACCCTAGCCAAAATGGGGGGGAGGAGGCGGCATACGAGCTCGAAGGTGTTGCCCTCGTACTCGAAGGAGGTGTAATGCTTGCGCTGCTTCTTCCCCCTGCCGGTGATCTTGACGGGCTCCCCGATGGGGACCGCCTCGGTGTTCTCCTCCTCGCGGGCCTCCTCCGCCTTGGCCTCCTCCTCCTCCTCCTCCTCGTCCTCCTCGCTCTCCTCGGCGGGGCGCTTGGGCTTGCGGCCCCGGCGGCGGCGGCGGCGGCGGGTCTGCGTCTCCTCCCGCCGCTCCTCCTCCTCGTTCCTCCGCATCTCCTCCAGATCCTTCTCGTCCTCCTCCTCCTCCTCGAGCTCCAGGTCGTCCTCCTCGACGTCGTCGTCGTCGTCGGCCGCCGCGGAGGAAAGGCGGCGCTGCTTCGGCTTCTTGGGGCCTGAGGAGGAGGAGGGCGGCGGCGGGGGCTTCGCCTTGGGCGGCGCGTCGGCGGCGGGGGCGTCGTCGTCGTCGTCGTCGCTGGTGGTGGCGAGCTGCGCGAATCGCCGCCGCCGCCCCATTTCGCCCGTGCCGCGGAGGGTTTCCAGAAGAAATTGGGGAGAGCAGTAGAGACTGGAGAGGGAGGGGAGGTAATTTGTACTAGCCGACCACAGGTCGTGTCGGGCGGGCCAGTCGGGTCGGAAGGTTGAGCCATCATTCGACTATGGGAGTTTGGGCTATATTACCCATCTCCTAAAATAAATAAATACTAAAAGTACTTTTTTTCATCTTAAAATATAATAATTTTTAGGGGATAAAATATAGAGACTGTTTAGTGGAGCTTAACATTTTGAGAAACAACTAGTTGGTAGCCAACTTTTGAGAATTTAGAAAAGCTGGGTTTCCCGGCTTCTGGCTTGCAGTTCATTTTCTGGATTCTTTTATAGACTCTACAACTACAGCTTCTCAGAATCTAGACCAAAAGCTGAATTGTTTGGGGGAGTTTCTGATTCTGGGAGAAGCTGTAGCAAGCTAGAAGCTCCCTTAAACAGGCCCATAGTCTATCTGGACAATCTATCCAGATTATCTGAATAATCTGTCCAGATTCGTAGTAGTACTAGATTATATCCCTCCACTTAAAAGTTATATTTTGGGACAAGTTTGTAGCATATTTAAAATTTGTTTCTAAAATAGTGCTCTCCGTTTCAAAATCTAGCTACCTTTGAAAATTTTTGTGGGATTAACGATTGAGTAAAAGGCCTAAAATGTTCTTGTTGAAGTTAATAAAGTGTTCGTTTTGATTGACGTGGTTGAGGTTGCCGATGCCTCTCACATTAGCAAAAAGACCTCCCGGGTGCTAAAAAATCAGGCTAGGCTTGCGAGCCCGCCTTCTCTAATGAGAAAGAAACTATCACTATTTATTATAGCCTTGACTATCCCACTTAGGTGAACCAAATTGTCTCTTCTCTAGTGGCAAGAGAGAAACGTGGGTAGTTTTCTTTGAGCTGGCATCAAACCAAACAAATGCTCTTGCCACACTGAGCTATAGCCAGGTATGGCTACTTTGGCAAAGTTTGGCTTGGCAAAGGCCGCAAAGCATTACAGCTTCCTTCAGCCTCAATCTTAAAAAAAGCCTCAAATACTTGTATTTTGAATTTTGAGATAGAGGGAGTACCTAATGAGAACCATGGAAGACAAATTGGGGATTGAAATCACTCCCTTTTAGACCAAATCACTACAATTGCCACCTTTTCTCCATGTTGTTTAAGTTTTACAGTTCCTTTGCAACAAAGGAAAATTAGAGGAATTTCAAAGGGTTTCAATCTTAACTTCATATAAGTCCCTCTAAAACAAAGGATTTGACTTTTAGAATTCATTTGAAATTCATGTGAAATGGCATGTTTCATGACAATTCTCTTTTTTCTAAATACTATGCTCTATCTAAATGGTTTTCCGTGTAGTTTTCATGTGTTTTCATTCTTTAGGATTAAAGGTATGATGACATTTCTTTTGTGATTTTTTTCTATTATTGTGTTTTAAGAATCCTACGTCCCAAAGGATATGGCTCGTACAAGCTAGGTCACCTATGCTTTATTCTCTTTTACGCATACACCCTCCGTCAAAAAAAAAAAGACAACTTCTATAGATAAATCTGAACAAATACTTGTCCCAGTTCATCCCTAGAAGTTAGTTTTTTTTATGGGACGGAGAGATTACATAACTATATCTATACTAATATAGACAGGAGGATTTTACCATGTAATCCAAATGGTGAAATTGTCACACTAATCTCAAGCATTTACCACAAACCTATCATGCCAAAAAAAATACTAATATAGAAAGGAGGAATTTACCTATAATCCTACTTATGAGATCGTTGCACTAATCTCGAGCATTTACCATGAACCAATCGCACCAAAAACGTAAAAAAAAATCACAAAACATCCTAACCATTTGATTTGCTCATCCGATGGTTTAGATTGGAAACCTTACATTTATCCAATCAATTTACCCGCTAATATAGCGATCTCCTGCGTCCTCCCCTAATTCTCGCTGCCATCCCATATAAAAAAAATATAACGCCCCATCATTAAGCCTCACCACGAGCGAACGCCATGCGCTATCCCTCTACGCGACTACAACTCGGGCGTTGTTTCACCACCTTATACAAAAAGGTTTCAGTGCCTAGCAAAAGGATGCTTTAACTATTGAAATGATGAAACACAATTAAATCAGTCTTGAAACATTTTGCTACAACATCTGAAACATCAGTTTTAAAGGTGTTGAACATCAACAATCTGAATTCATCGAAGAAAAGAATGAAACACCACAAAAAACTTACTGCAACATTTTGATTCAACTAATAAAACATTTGGATACACGGGCTGAAACATCAAAAATCCAAAAAAATAATGAAATATCACCGAAAACTCATTGCAACATTTTGATTCAACTAATGAAACATACATGGGCTGAAACATAAAAAAAGTCCAAGAAAAATCGAGTTAGACCTACCTCTTCCTCCACTTCGGTGATCTCCTCTGGTCTTCATGGGGGGCGTCGGCGTCGCAGCGATGGTGTGCCTTCACGGGGACAAAGTCGCCGTCGACGTCGAGGAAGCCGAAAAGCGGCGGCGGATGGTTGATGGTGCGGCCCGACGGAGGAGGCGGCACAGACAACGTCGGCGGGGGAGAGGAGGCGGCGTGGGCGAGGGAAGTGGGGGAGAGGAGGCGGTGCGAAATGAGGCGATGCAGAAGGGCGCCCGATATTTTCCCCTCTCGTCTAGTGCCCGAGTCAAAGGATTTTCGACTCTCCCTCTCCCATGCCCCGGGAAGGCCATGACCACAAGGGTCTTCCCGGCCAGTCACCGTCCCCATGATGCCCGATGACACAGCGCCCTGTCGCGCCATGGAGAGGTTGCGAGGGGCTTCCTGATTGTTATTGCCGCCGCGGTGCCCTCCCTCGGCGCTGGTCCACTTCCACCCATGCTGTGCCTGACAATGCCACAACCTCCCTCTATCGCATCGAAGGGTAAGCTGCGATGGGCTTCACAGTCGCTGCCATTTTGTCACGAGGAACCTCCACTTTTCTGGCACTGTGAGGCAATAGAGGGCATCGTCTCTGGTGGCGTCACGGTTCCACAACCAATGACTTGAACCATATATCATTGAGTGGGTTCAATCTCTTCTCCCTTTTCAGTTCATTTCTTTTTTTACTTTATTCCAGTTCATTTCTTTTGTTGGTGCGATTTGGTTGTGACTGGCTATCAACCGAGGATCTTTATGTAAATATTCCGTTGACATTGTACATTTTTTTCCTTCTACTCTGTTCAATGAAATTGGCAATATCTTGTGCCGGTTCATTAAAAAAACACTATCAACCAATGAAGCAAGTTCTTTTATTGTCTGGACATAATCTATTTTGCCCAATAGGTGTCTGATTAAATGCCACTAAAACAATCTGGAGCCGGTTTCTGCGTGCACCCGTGTGATCACATCCTATAGTTTGATTGTCTAATAAAACTATAGGATGTGATATACCATTGCCGTTATGTATATACCATTGCCGTTAGAATTTTTCTCTACAGCTTATTCAAGCATTCAACAATGGGCTGATTTTCAAAAGGAGCTATACAAGTTTAACATTGAACCACATTGTACCAAGTTTCGGTTTTTAGGAGGGATGGAGGAGATCTGGAAGTTAGAAGGTATGCTGCTTCATTAGAATAGATAATGTGTATTTCTCAAATATATCTTTTTCGCTTGATTATGTCCCGTCTGCACTCCTCTGCAATATTTTTCTAATGGATGCATGCTGATGCTGGGTATTTTCTATTGTTGGCGCAAATGGGTGAGCAAACATGGATGGTGATGGTATCCTGACGTCCAAATGTGAACCAGCCAATGAGGTCACCGTTATATCCCATTATTTCTTCTTCTTCTTCTTATTGTGTATTCAACATATTGTCATGGTTGGCAATTTTCTGATACATTGGATTGCCGACTTTAAGTACAGAGTCAATTGCCAATCCATGTGCAGGATGTCCAGAAGCACTGCTAGAGTGCTAGGCTTAGTGCGAGGCATGACGTAGCAGATGCGGCAATGTTCTTGAGTTCATAGCCTTAAGGTGAAGTTTTTCTAAAACTAATTCATTGCTACACATTACTATTACCCTAAATTTTTTTCTCGAACGCACTATTACCCTAAATTGTTGAACTACATCTCTGTGTTCATTATAGGATCTGAAATTCATGCCTCGCTATATACTACCTATGATTAGTCAGGATCAATTAAATTTTCTGCCATACATATTGCTGCACATTACTTATATCATTAATTTTATAGCCCTAAATTTCCTCTTACCACACAAATCAGTTAGAAAAATCCTCCTACAGTTTTTTTTTTACCTTGTGTTCAATTGGAAAAGATGTCCCTAGCACCTATATGTATTTCTGTGTAAACTCCTAATTCTGATTGTGTTACAGAAAGACACTGCCTGCACCTATAATGAATAAGAGTTAAGGGACCTTCGTATTTTTCATGATTGCCATTGCACGAATACCACAATCTGCACATGATATACAATTATACATCCAGTTCTCTGTTTTTCTATAAAACATATATAGTAGATGCAATGCAATTCTTTTAAGTTTTCTGTTGTCTGTGCTTGATCGAGTATAAAATGTTGGTATTGATCTAAATCATCTAATCCTCAGTTGGAGTTTCAACTTTAATTTGCTGATTTTTTGTATAAATAACATGACATATTAATGGATAAGAACTATCGGGTGCTCTCTAATAGCTTCAATTTATCAACCTTTCAAAGTGGCCAGCGACTTGTATGAATAATTAATCCCCCTGCATGGTAACCCTATATTCTCCTTGGCATGCTAGATCCTCTCACATCCACTACCAGTAAAGATGCTACCAGGTGGTTGTCTTGATTTCTTGTCTCCTTGCTTTATCTAGAAATTTTATGATTTAAAATGAAATAGTTGTTGGCAACTTTTTTGACAAGTTGACAAGCACGATCGCAGCACCTTAAGCCTTGCGGTGATCCTAGAGTCGCCAACCACCTCGATCTAGCAAAGAGCTAAACCTAGATGGGTTTTGATAACTAAACCGGCTAACGGAGCCGATTT